ATTTTATTTTGTACATCTACCTTTGTTAGATCGTAGTGACCCCTCATCGTATTTCTGCAGTGTGCATTATTTACAATTTACGCAGATATACGAGATCTACAGTTTAACGGCCACTTCCGAACGGCCTTAACTAACATTAAAGGGGTTTTCATGGCAAAATATATACTTTCGATAATTTGCCAATGCCTTCGGAGAGGTAGGGATTAAAAAATCCAACGTTTCTAGTCAATTTGAACTCAGGTCTTTGGCACAGAAAGCATATGCACAATAGAAATATAAATATGAAGTTATTACAAGTAAATCTGTAATTTGTTATAGAATTTGAAATAGAGTCATATTCATAATTTTGCATAATTGTGTAATATACATCTATACAAAGTATATACAGAACATAACTTAGAATATATTATTATAAAAAAGAATTTTATCTCAAATTCCACTAGAGTTTAATCTTTCAATAATTCCGTTAAATATGTTAAATGGAAATATGTTTAATTTTTAATTTCTTAGTCCTGGGATGAAGAACTAGAGACAATTGCACAGAGATGGGCCAATCAGTGTATTAAACATTATGACGACTGTAGGAACGAAGGTGAGTAATAATTTATGCAATTACATTTATATAATCCTATTAAATATAACACGTAATATATTTATTACCATAATAAACATCATCGCACAGAAAGATTCGAAGTTATCCAGTATATGGCCTGGAAATCCTCTATGAATGAAAATGAGTTCACTTTAGAAGACTTGATGGAAACAGCGTATTATAATTTAATTGAAGTAGGAAGACGTTATTTTTCCGCATATCCGTAAGTATTTCAAATATTATATATTCTAGCATATTATACACACGGTGTATTAATGAATATGTATTTTAAACAATAGACTTATAAATTAATTTGTAGTAATTCTTTTGACGTTAAAAATTCTAAATGTTCAAATATCAAGTAAAGAAAAGAGGTATTTGTGTAGAAATTCTATCAATTTAAATAAATGTTTAAAGTACATCTATGCAATATATATTTATTAAATATAAAAAATTTTTATAATAACATAATTTTATTTTTACAAAATAATCTGTATTAGGGATATTGTACACACAATAGAAGATTTTACTTATAATCTCTGGGCTAACTTGACAAAGATCGGGTGCGGACGAATAAAGTTTAAGGAATCAAACGGCTTGACTACGCATCATATGGTTTGTAATTTGGCGTGAAATATAGAAAAAAATGCATAAAATAACATAAAGAAGTAGATTTGGCCATCTCCTGATGACATATAATTTAAAAGATAAAAAGTAACAATATAAAAAAACAAACTTTTTTATGTATTGTTTTATATATCAATATTTCTTTTATATTTAGAACCGGCAAATTAATGAAAATATCATTAACAAATTTTTGGTCAGAAAAGCAGTGTGATGTAGCTTAGAGATAAGAATATCTTTACAAAGAAATTATATTATACTATTATTGTACTTGTGAGAAAATAAATAAAACTAATCAGCACACAAAATAAAATTTTTCAATGTATAACATTCTTAAGGGTAATATAAGTTAAGGGGAGATAGATAAATATTCTCATATCATATTCTCATATCTTTTCTATCATGTGTTCTTTTAATTTCTATATGGCAAAAAAAGCAGGGTTGGATAAGTTAATATATTTTTTTATGTAAGTTAAATTAAAGTTAACAGTCTTAAAAATTAAACTTATAATTAGTTAAGAAAGTTAATCCATAATAAAATTTATTAAATTAAAAGTTAACTTAATAAAAAAGTTATCAGTTATAAGTTA